ATATATATATATATATAGAGGTTGATTAATTTAGTACATTTCACATAAATCGATTCTTATGCTTGATATGTACATAAAATGTGTGTGAAGAAGAAGAAAAAAAATGAGCATAAGCATTTTAAGAGTGAGAGAACACTCAAAATAAAGAGAGAACATGACAGAAATACGGAGAAGACAATCATATATTGAAGAGAAAGGTATGTGAAAGTGAATTTCATGTCATCCACTTTCATTGACCTCCCAAAAGTCTTTATCGGGATTTACATAACACTAAACAATTTTGTGATGTAATTATATTGTGAATATTTTCTTTTGGTAAAATCTTTCATTTTATTTTGTTATGGTCTTTTCAAATTTATTTCCAATAGGAAAAATCCTTGGGTGTGTTATCAGAAGAATAGCAGTGGGATATTTGCTAAAAGAGAGAAAGGATAACAAAGTTGTGCCTCTTTCTTATTCATACGTGAACAGTACACGGAAATATATATACAGAATGAAGAAAGAGAATACAAAACGAAAAAAGAGAAAAATCACGTGAACAGTTATAACAAACTATATATAAAATAACCAATTATTGTTGAGACCCCCCTCAAGCTGGGAATATATGTTTAGCATGCCCAGCTTGGAACACAAAGCATGAAACTTGGAAGGTAATGATGATGAACTGCATGAGTGATGTCAGGGCGTGTTGTGGTGAGATAGATGAGGCGACCAATCAATCTACGATAAGCAGAAGGATCTGATAAGGGGGTACCCGTGGTGGCAGACAAACGAGTGGAATAATCCATGGGTGTAGCAACAGGACAAGAAGCAAGCATGCCACAATCAGAAAGTATATCCAGTGTGTATTTACGCTGAGAAAGATGAATACCGGATTTAGTGCGAGCAACCTCCAGGCCAAGAAAATATTTAAGATCTCCAAGGTCCTTTATTTTGAAAGTGACATCAAGAAATTGAGTGATATGTTGAATTTCTGAAATGTTGTTACCAGTGAGAACAACATCATCTACATACACAAGCAAAGCCGTGGTGGAAGAACCAGAAAACTTAAGAAATAACGAATGATCAGATTGAGATTGATGGTAACCATGCCGAAGAAGGAAAGAAGAAAGTCGAGCAAACCATTGTCGACTAGCTTGTTTTAACCCGTAAATGGAACGTTGAAGCTTGCAAACCTGGTTGGGAAAGGTGGAATGAAGGCCAGGAGGTAAATGCATATAAACCTCTTCATGTAATTCACCGTGGAGGAACGCATTGTTGACATCCAACTGCTTAAGGTGCCAGTTAAAAATGGAAGCAAGAGCTAAGAGAAGCCTGACCGTGGTGAGTTTAGCAACTGGAGAAAATGTATCAAGATAATCTAATCCTTCCATCTGAGTATATCCCTTGGCAACGAGGCGGGCTTTATAACGCTCTATACTTCCATCAACATTATATTTGATCTTATAAATCCAACGACAACCAATAGCATGCTTGTGTGGTGGTAGAGTTACGAGAGTCCAAGTATGATTTGTTTGGAGAGCATCTAATTCAGCTTTCATGGCCTTAAGCCAGCAGTCACTTTTAGCAACTTCAGCGTAAGAGGTGGGCTCAGTAACGGTGGAAATGGAAGCAATGAAATTCTGGAAAGAGGGAGAAAGGCGAGTATAACAAAGATAATTTTCAAGAGGATATCGAATACCTGGATTAGGATTGGTTGTGGTTGATGTGAGGGAGCTGTGAAAATCCTTTAAATATGAAGGTGGTTGACGTTGGCGAGAAGAACGACGTAAGGTAGTGGAGTTATTTGGTGCAGGTGGACGATGTTGACTAGGATTAGAAGAATGTTGTGTAGGATCAAGAAGGGTATGATCAGTCGTGAACGGTAAAGGAGAAACGGTAGTAGTGTGAGGATCATTGTTAGGTTGGTGTATATGTGGAAAATGGTCTTCATAAAAATGGACATTGCGAGAAACAACAGTGTTACGAGTATGAAGATTATAAACAAGGTAGCCTTTAGTGTGAGGTGGCAGACCTATGAAAATACAAGGATGAGCATGTGGGTCTAGTTTCTTGCGATGGGAGGTAGGAGTGGTAATGTAACAGAGACACACAAAAACTTTAAGCACAGATATATCACATGGTTGACCAAACAATTTATTAAAAGGAGAAGTATTTTGAAGAAATGGTGTAGGAATGCAATTACTGAGATAAGTAGCATGCAAAAGTGCAAAGTTCCAAAAAATATGAGGCAATCCGGAATGAAAAAGAAGGGCGCGGGTGACATTTAATAAGTGTTGATGTTTACGTTCCACGATTCCATTTTGTTGTGGCGTTTCAGTGCATGAAGTTTGGTGGATGATTCCTTTAGAGTTGAAAAAATCATGCATAGAAAATTCAATGCCATTGTTTGTGCGAATGGTTTTGATGTGAGTATTAAATTGATTTTCAATAAGATTGATAAAATTGATGATGTGCATCCGAGTTTCATTTTTAAAACGCATAAAAAATGTCCATGTATAACGTGTGTGATCATCCACTATGGTTAGAAAATAACGATGACCATACATAGAAGGAGTGGAGTAAGGACCCCAAATATCCATGTGCAAAAGATCGAAAGAATGTAAAGCATGAGAATTGCTAAGAGGAAAAGCAAGTTTTCTTTGTTTAGCATAATGGCATGTACTACATGTAAAATTCTTATTGATGGTCAAACAAGGATAAGTCTCTCGCATAGTATGTAAACGTGTATCAGACAAATGACCCAGGCGAAAATGACACAAGTTGATGGGTATCACATTACATTTGGGATGGACAATGGCAGAGTTTGTATAGTGTGGATTAAAACTTTGAGGAAAGATCTGGTATAAGCCCCCTTTCACATCAATTGAACCAATCGTCATCTGGGTGTTCAAGTCCTGTATAAGACAGGATGCAGCAGAAAAAACGAGTTGACACGGGATGGTAGAAACAAGTTTAGAAATAGAAATTAAATTGAAAGTGAATGAAGGAATGTAAAAAACATCTATCAATTGAAAGTGAGAAGAAAATTGAATAGTTCCAGAATGTGTAGCAGTGACGTGATGACCATTAGGAAGACGAACAGTAACGGGATCAATAATATGATAAGAGATGAAAAATTGAAGAGAGGATGATACATGGTCGGTGGCCTCGGAATCAAGGATCCAAGGGGTAGTGGAAAAAGAATTGGCAGTGCAAACAATAGGGTCGATTTTACCTGAGGCAGAAGGTGTGTGTTTGGAAGAAATAGAACCAATTTGGTTAATGTGAGCCGTATTTGAAGCTGAAGTTGCATGTGGTGGCTGCTGAATTAAAGCCAATAGAGCCTCATATTGCTGTGGTGTAAAACGAATCTCTTGGGTCTCAGTAGCAGCAGCATAGTTATCCTTCTCTGTGACCTTGCCTTCACCTGTCACAATACTGTTAGTAGAAGAAGATTTTCCAGTAGATAAACGATGACCAGGAGGAAACCCATGTTTCCGATAACACACATCAATAGTATGGCCGCTCCGACCACAATGAGTACAATGGTTTCAGGAATAACATCAGCGACAGAGAGTTGGTGTTCATGTTGAGCAACATAAGGAAAAAAATTTGTAAGAGGAGGGAGGGGATCCATCAAAAGAACATGAGAGCGAACATTAGCATATGGATCATTAAGACCACGAAGAAATTGCATAGCCTGATCTTCAAGTTTTCGATGAGCAATGATGGATGAGACCTTACAGGTGCATTTGATAGTGCAAGTGCATATAGGATCAGGCCGAAAATTTTCCAATTCATCCCAAATAATGCGAAGTTTGGTAAAGAAATCTGTGACAGAGAGATCACCTTGTTTAATAGAGGATGCCTCGAATTGTAGATCAGAAATACGAAATAAATCTCCCTGAGAATATCTAGATTTGAGGTCACGCCAAATTACCTCCGCCTGATCCATCCAAAGGATGCTCTGTCGTATGGAAGAAGAAACAGAATGAACAAGCCAAGAAACGACCATGTTATTACATCTTTTCCAAGCTCCATAGCTACGATCAGACGGTAAGGGTTGGGGAACACTTCCATCAATGAACTCTAATTTATTTTTGGCACTCAGAGCAGTAAGCATGGACCTGCTCCATGAATGATAATTGGTTGAATCAAGTGAAGGAGAAACGAGAGCCATAGCAGGATTTTCATTGGGATGTAGATACAAAAAACTATGAACATTAAGAGATGGATCAGCCTCTCCGCTCATGGTTGCAGAGAAAAAAAATAAGGATCTTACGCTCTGATACCATATCAGAAGAATAGCAGTGGGATATTTGCTAAAAGAGAGAAAGGATAACAAAGTTGTGCCTCTTTCTTATTCATACGTGAACAGTACACGAAAATATATATATAGAATGAAGAAAGAGAATACAAAAGGAAGAAAGAGAAAAATCACGTGAACAGTTATACTCCTTCCGTTTGTTTTTCATAGTCGTTTAAGGTTTTGCACGGGACTTAAGGAAATTATTGATATTTTAGTTTTCAAAAATATTTATTACTTACTTTCCAATTTTACCCATTATTTTTTTTTTTGCATTTTTTAGACTGTTGAACTACTCCATTAAATAGTTGTCCCTTTTTTTGTTTTTTTATAGTATTTTGTTGGAAACATATTGCTCTTATAAATGCATATTAACTTTATATGAGTAGTTGGAGAAAAATTAGGTAGACATTAAAAATAAATACACACATTGTTCAGGAAACATGTATTAATTATCAAGGATAAAAATGGAAGAAAAAAAATTAATAACTCATTGATTTTAGTAATATGACAATGAAAAAATAATAATAAACTCTGACAAAAAGACTATGAAAAAAAACGGAGGGAGTAACAAACTATATATAAAATAACCAATTATTGTTGAGATGTGTTTGTGTGTTATTCAGCACTATTAGGATTTAGGATGCTACACTACACTACAACCATAACTTAATCAGACATGTACGAAGAATATCTTGGTAAGGCCACGTTAATAATGATCTCTCATCTTCTAGTGTATAAAAGTTCAAAACATTTGTGAGAAAAGTCGGGTTTGTAAAGCATTAAATTTCACACAATAACTTGGAGGTGGTCCTCTGTACACATTGAGTAAGAAGAATCAAAGTACCAAAATGTTAGACAGCTAATAGGATAGCTACAGTAAATAACCTAAAACTATATATAAGAGTCACCTATTTATTCATGTACCTTTACTGACACGATTACACTATCTTAACTAACCTATAACTATTAATTTAATTAGATGATAACTTTACAAATATTACCATCTTAGAAAATTTAAAAAAATTATAAGTTACAGAATCTGGTTCTTAATTAAACCTTCATGTTTCGTTTCATTTTATATTTTTTTTTTGTCTATATTGAAATAAGGTATAATCATTAAATATATTTATTTAAATAAATCAATTTATTAAGGTTAAGAACTTTTTTAACGACTTAAAGTCTGCCCTTAATAGATTTCTTAAAAACCATTTTACCTTATTTATCATGATATGGGTTATTAGCTCCATAGATTCCAAATAATTATTTATTTATTTATTATTTCTCCTTGTGACAATATTTAACACACGATTTTTTTTCTTCAAGAAAAATCTAATGTTATGAATGTTAGTTTTTCTGTTTGATTTCTTATTTAAAAATAATATTTCTAAGAAATATTATTTTTTGAAAATAATTTTTTTTATGAGATTATTCTAACTTTCTGGATATAAAAATAAAGTTTTAATATGATAAAAATATCACGCTATATTTATTTATTTGTTTAATATAGTAAAAATTATTACTTTTTAGGTAATATTTAAAAGTATTTATATATGATTAATTAAATATATTTTTATAATTTTTAAAAATCACGATTCTTAATAAACTTTCAAATTTTTAGATGCTTTTGAAGTTTTCGTAATTTAGATTTTGAATTTTTATGTATTCATTTTTGAAAAGTAGTGATTTTAGAAGTTTTTCTCATTCTCTTTAAATTAAATTGAGTGACTATTTTGTATTAAAAAATTATTTTTTTAATTTTTATTTTTAATTCCTCCAGGATACTATCACATAAATTTAAGAGGAGGGTTATAATAACGGTATAACTTTTATTAATTATTATACTTCTCAATAACTTTATATTAAATGTGAATTTTGTAAATTCAATCGTTAGATTGAAATTTATATTACTTTATATATTTATATCAAATTTTGTTAAAATTAAACAACAATTTGAAGATAATCAAAATATTCATATTTTAATATATTTTGAAATGAATATATTATATCAATTCTATTTTATAAAAATAAAGTATTAAATCATCTTAAATTAATATAAAATTTTGTATATATAACCTAAGAATAAAAAATATTCAATCTAACAATTAGATTTACAAAAATCACATTAAATATAAAATTATTGAGCGGTATAATACTTAATAAAAGTTACATCCATATTATTATAATCTTCTTCTAAATTTAATATTAATTTAAATTTGAATGTAGTTTTAAATTTTAACATTTTTTTTTTAATTTTTCATTATAAATTTGATTAGTCAATATTGAACGCTCGTGTTTCCTCTCACTTGGAATAAAAAGTTTTAGAAACTTACTGTGCAAAATGGATTTGTTGTATATTATGGAAATTATAAATTTTGGTGTTTGTCTACTTTATCACCATCATGCAAATTTTGTTCTCTTGGAACTAGTTCAACTGATTGGATTCTCTCTCTAGTTTATGTTGATCGTGATGTGAGTTAAGTAGCTCACTTTCTTGCTATTAGTGGTGTTAGACAAGATTTTAATTTGATTGAATGACATAAGTCCTCCCCTCTCTTCCAAACTGTTATTTTTCATGACAACCTGCTTGGAGTGGACAAAATTAAATTATGTGAAAATTAAACTAAATTATGTGAAACAAAAACTAAACCAAACTTAGTTTCAGTTAATTTTTAAAAACTGAACCTTTGATAGTGCAGTTTAGTGCTAATTGGTTCACCAGAGTGAAGTAAAAAAATTAAGAGAAGCCTCCTTTCCATGTGCACTGCCAAACTGTTTTGCACGAGAGTAAAGAAAAAAAAGGTAGAAGAGACCCTAGGTGTGTATTTGACCAAAGTTAAAAAAAAAAAAAAACCCTACTTCTTTCGTTTTATTTAAATATAAGTTATATTAACTTATAAAAGCAAGATATGAAGAAAAAAAACTTAATTATGCAATATTATTATATCATAGTGTAATTGTTTTTGCTTTTCACTCTTATGAAAGAAAAATTTTCTTTTTTATTTCAATTCTATAAACAAGAAATTAATAATAATTATAAATGAGTGTGTTTCACTTTTTGGTTTAAAAACTATTTTATAAAATAATTTTCAAAATATGATTTTAGGAGAGTATAAGTAATTGAGAAAAATATAAATTAGTTCAAATGTTTAAAGTATTGTACAGTGCAATATAATTTAATAAAACAAAAAATAATTTAATTTATTTCAATTCGCTTGAACTGATTTTTAATTTAGTCAATTCAATTCAAGCAAAATTTCTTTTACAATCTAGTGTTATTTTTATAAGTTTAGTTCAGTTGAAGTAAGTTTTTTTTATTTATAGTCCAGTGTTATTTTTATAAGTTTGGTTCAGTATATTTTGTTTATTCCTAAGTGTGAGTAGTTTCTTGTTTGTTTATTTTTTATAAAAAAAAATATTAATATTTTTTTTTTATCATTATTGAAACAAGATTCATTCTTTTAAGTAAGATTTTAAATTTGGATTTCGTAAATGATAAAAATATAATTAAGATGAGAAATTTATTAAAGGTGATGAAGATAATTCCCTAACAAGTATTAATTACCAACTTTATTTAACATCAATAATATAACTTAAAAAATAATATTATTTAATAATAATATAATTAAAAAAAATGAAAGACACATGTGTACATATGAGTGTACATGTATATGTTTTTTTATTGAGTATGAATGTACATGTGTATCTGTTGCACGATTGCATCTCCAAACAACTCAAATACCAACTCTGCTACAAATGCATTAAGAGATTATTCAAATATATCAATAGTCAACAAACAATTCATTCTGCTTCAAAAAAAAAAAAAACAATTCATTCAGGTATTTTTTTTATAAAATAATTGATAATTAAATATAGTTACACCATACACAATACATGTGTTAAGAGGGAGCATCCACGCGTTAATATATTTATAATAATAATAAAAAATGTTCATTTTAAGTAAAGTATAATATGTAAATATTAAATTTATCCCTTTTTCTAAATTTTTTATACTTGGCTGCATATAAAAAGTGTATTTGAGGCTATTCTTTAAAAAAAAATTTACTTTTTGCTACATCATTTAATATAAAAAGTTTAACTCCCTTGATTAAAAAAATTTAAGTTTAATTATTTTTAAAATTTAAGTTTTATGATAGCTCTGATGTATATTACATTTTTATAATCTAATTTAGATTTCATTTTAAATATTAAGGGATTTAACTCATATCAAATCAAGAATTTCAAAAATTGTGTTTATTGTTATATACAATCGTTTTGAATTTAATAACTTTCGTATTACAAGTTCAATTTATAGATTCATATATTTTTTTATTTTTTTATTATGCATATGTGCACATACGTGTATGTGTAAATTAATTAAAGTTTAATATATTATTTTATTTTTAATTTTTTTTAAAAAAAATTTAATTAGATTTTTAAAATTAAAAAAAAACTATAATCAACTTTTTTTATGTTTTTATATTTTTATATTTAGAAATTCATTAAAAAATTATTTATTACCTGTAATCTTAGCATTTCATATACTTAGAAAAAATGATAAATATAATTTTTTTATATATAAATATTTATAACATAA